ATGTCTAACAACTATTACTTCTTGAATTCAATGAACTCAGACTAGGAGAGGGGTGAAACTAATTCTATTTGGGACAGCTCATTTCATTCACCTCTGAAACGGAGAACAGATTCTGTGAAATGAACAGAAGAGTGAGAATGATTAGGAGCTCTTTGGGAAGACTGAAAATGTTCCTTTCAGGGAAACTGCCCTTTTCCTTGAAACGAAAAGCTTTCGATCAGTAATTGCTGCCGGTGCTTACCTATACCCTAAATCCAAAAGCTATTTATAAACTGCAGAAATCCCAATGAAGCATGGAAAGATGTATTCTTTGAATAAAAATAAAAGATAGGAAGACAAATGAATCGGTAAGAGTACAAACAAGAGTCCGCAATGTCACCGTCAAAGTAACAAAACTGAGCTTTCAATGGGCAGGCCACGTTGTAAGAGAATCGACTATCCCTGGACTAGAGAAAGTTGACTGGTTTCCAAAATAAAATAAGCAGCCAGTAGGAAGACCTCAATTTGGATGCAGGATGAGCTTAAGTAATTCATTTGATCATGATACATAAGAATTACAGAAAACAAAAGTTCACAACAAAGTATTGGAGAGGCTTTTATCCAGCAGTGGATAGATGAAGGTTGATTATAGTATATACACTTTTTTTATCCTGTCTTATGTCTCCAAAAACTGCACCCTTTCACCATTTTTTGTAGTGTTTACATCCGATGCACAAGCAAGACCAAACTATCAAATCAAACAAACGTAGAGCTTATCTTACATGTCATACGCAATTATATATCCACATCGCGAGTGTGACGAATTTCATCACGTAGCCAAAATAAAGAGTACCTTGGAGATGTTGGTAGCCATGAATACTATAGGCACTGCAGAACAACCAACCTGGTACAACAGTATCGTTATGTTCACAACATACCTACAAAATCATAACTATAAGTGACCTGTTATATTAACGTGGTAACAGCAGGTAAAGCACAACAGCAGTATTAAAAGATAACATCAAAAAACACATACAATCAGAAACAAGCAAACCTAATCGCTCCAAGATTGCGTTAGATCATGAGAATATCAACAGTAGTGCGGCGAAATCAGGTATGAATGAATTAGTTGTTGACCATATAACATGGATTCTCAACGCTTAACCAATATATGCATCACGCATAATGTGTATTTATTCATTTTTAAAGCCACTATTCCCTCCAGACCGTACGAAAAGTTACTACAGGAAACGTTTGCAATAATCCCAGTCTGCCGCTAGACGTGGAAGCTCCGTGATCTGAATTTCAAGGCACGACAATGTCAGGGCGTCGATATAATCGACCCTTCTGATTCGAGGATGTCTTTCACGTGACTGTGTCAAGAGAATGAGTCTCTGCAACGGAATGCTTATTACATGACCAAATTATCGCATCCGTGCTCCTTCGAACTGGATAAGAGAGGTGTGAAGGGTATATATCGATACAAGAATTAGTAGCGGGGGACTACAGGGCGTTATTGCAATCAGATGACGAGCAGTGATTGATCGGCTAACAATAAGGACAAGATGGCATCCTAGTATGATCATTGAAAAACATGCGAGATATACGACCATGTTGTCTCTGCCAGCGTCTTATAGTTGTTATCTGCTTTGATCCATCTGATAGCTGACTAGAAATCAGAAAAAAGTGACAAATGCTAAATATTAATCTTAAATGATCTAGACCTTATGAGAAGAAATGGAGGGCATTGACAAAGAAAAACGATACCTCCAATACCTCAGCTTCTAAATCAAAAAGCATTAATGCATTCATATGTTCGGTTGAGTCAATCAGGACCTTAAATTATATTTTAGCGTCTGATCGACGCATATTCTTTAGCGGTCATTCAAGGTGAATCTCAAGCGTGATTCCATCAATCATGTCGGTTTAACTGGACCTTTGTCAGTCTGATTACTGCTCTGAAGCAGTCGCAAATATGGTTCAAAGCCATTTTGAACTTAACGCGCTTCAGGTAAATAACACTGGCGGCTATCAAGTAACGGCTAGGGTAAATAACAGTGACGACAGCTGCGATGGTTCATGCGCGAATTTCGAATGCCTCCGGAAAAGAAAGCGAAACAACTACTACGTGCCCAACCGACCGGTCGAAGACCGTGTGGAGGGGTAAAAAGCACCTGAAGCAAATCACCTCGACAAACTCTGTTACCGACTCAGATTATCATCTGCTGAAATTCAGACAGTGACACAAGATCGAGAACGTCTGCGACCTGTCCGAACCATCCGCCTTTATCACCAAGCGGTAATCGAAACTCACTGACCATCACGTGATGGCGACTCAGAACATAACTCGCCTGTGCGTGACCATAACAAAAGAATTTTCTCAGTTTGTGGCACAGCACACTAATACGATGTCTTGACAGCAGTAACAAAATGTTTAAATGGTTAACACAAAGCAGCAAAAACAACACACTGTCTTACATGCATTTTTTGCTGTGCCTTTGGAAAAATGCCACTTCACTGTAGTCGAAAACTTTCTTTGCAAAATGACCAAAATCTAATGCTGGACGACCGCTTCTAAAACAACAAAATTATCTTTCGGTATCTTCATTTATAAAAGTGAAAAAAGTTTGATTTAGAACGGTGAGAAATGAAAATAGAAGCAAAGACGCCACCTACATGTTTTGCCTCGAGTAAACAACGCTTCGGTGCCAAATAAAGTCTCAAAAATATTTGTCTGTCAAAAACATTAATAAACCGAGAGATGTGCTATGCCATGGTTTCCAGGCATTAGGACAACGCCTAGTGTTCACCAACAAGCTTCCCCTAAGGAACTGATTTAAGCAAAGTCATGGCTCCATACTAATTTGGTTTTCGTTGTGCAGTAAATAGGCTCATATTTAAATAAGCCAGAAATTCAATAGCTACATGCATCATTTTATTCCCTCATGCAACTCTGTTCGTCACTGATGATGTTACTTGAGCGGTACACTTTACATTCTTTGGCATAACATCATAATCGTTGAGACGCATCTCAGCATATGTCAATAAATGTATAATTAATGCAAAACAGGAATTCACGGCATTTTTGAAAAATCGACAATTCTTTAATGAATAAAGCGATGCGAGATGCATCTAGCAATGTTAGTACTTAAATATTATAAAGCATAACGAGTTTTAAGACCCTATAAGCAAGATGTGTCGTGTCACACGCTGTGAAACCCGATTAGACGGAGACATGACCTTAACCGAACAAAACTGAAAATAAACAGACAACGCAATAATAAAAGATATGCAGGTGGAAAAAATGAGATGCAATAGAGGAAGGGGAAGAAAGAGAAAGGGATATAACATACAAAAGGGTATGAAGGTAAGAAAAAGCGAAAACAATTAGGATAAATAATGAACAGAAGAAAAGGAAAAGAGAGTAGTAAAAAAGTAGCTACAAGACAAAACGCAAGGAAAAGAAAAGGAACGACGAAATGATTTACTGAAAGAAAAATTGCAACAAGAAAGGTGGCATAAACAGAGGGAAAAATTGAAAGACGAACGATATTAATCGGAATGTAAGAAAAACCTAAAATCTAGTTATCTACACGCAGAAAAATTTTCTCTTCATTTTCTTTTCAGATGCAGGTAGCTACGCTGCTTCTTTGTCTCCTTATCCATGTTCTTTCTCCCTCTCTGTTGCTTCTGCTTCACTCTCACTTCTTTAATTTTTTTCTGCTTCTCTTGTCATGTCTCATTTCACTTATGATTTCCCTTGACCACATACTCCCTCTTTCTCTTTCCTCTTCTTTTAGTCTCATTTCTTTCGCTGTCCCCTTTTCTCTTCTCTCTGCTCATTTCCATTTCTCGCAATCTTCGTTCTCTCAGTTTCGATCGGAAGCAGCATCTACTCCTTCGCTTCTGAATAAAACGCTATTAGCTGCTTATTCTATTGGCAGAAGTCGCATTATATCATACTAGAAGGTGGTTTTATATCGTCATCACATTATATTATACTTTTTGTGTCGGTTTAGACTCTTACTGTAAAGCCAGACGCTGTGAAGAACGAGACAGTATGAGACTGCAATACCAATTGCTTAGTGACACAACCAGCTGGAGAACGAACGCGACCTTAATTAAACACACACCGATTAGTAAAAATTTCATTCACGAGCATCTTACCGCCTACCAACAAGCCAGCTTGTTTCCAAGCAAACGGAATGGACAAACACCCAGTACCGACGAAGCTCTTTGTCAGGGTCAACAACGCTTGACTGCTGCCAATGACATCACCGCGCCGTCTCAGGATCAGCGGAGCCTCTTCGTCATCCTCATCGTTTTCCTGAATATCATTTTTGTCGCTCGAGTCACCTTCGGCAAAAGCTGACTGGTTCTGGCCTCCCGGTACATCATCCACAGGCGACCTCACCATTTGCTAAAAGCAAACCTTATAAGACATACTTGTGTATTTGTCGTGACAACGCCGAAACAACACGATC